GACTCTAGGCAATGTATTACCCTGCACTCATTGTCTGCATAATAATTCCTGCAATTATTTCTAATTTTTTAAACTCGGATATTGACTATTGATGCATTAACTGTTTTTGTCTCGGTCACGAATACAAGACTTCGCTTTCTCTCATTCTCATAAGGGAAATCCTAGCCTGAGACTACATCGTATCAATAGGGAAATCTCCACTCTTAGGTGATGGATAGTGGTGTGGGGTTGGTCCTAGAGACCGCAGGTATGGTTTTCAACATTTGAGTTTATGGAAAATAGTAAACAATAGATTGGAAGTTTATTTTCATCCATCTGACACGCCTGAAGCCTCTGTTCAAAGTACAAACGAGAACCCACGTGGAGTCTTTATCTTCATGGGACAATTGACTTCCTGTTTCATCTCTCTTTTCCCCAGTCCTTCTGTGTGTTCCTTAAAGAGATCTTAGGCTATTGGCACTCCCACCAGTAGTGGAGGAGTGTTCCCCTTTCTCCACATCCTCTCCAGCACAAACTGTCATTGGTGTTTTTGATTTTAGCCATTCTGACAGGAGTAAGATGATATGCTTTGCTTTGATTTGCATTTCCCTAATGGCTAATGGTGTTGAGCACTTTCTCAAGTGCCTCTCTGCCATTTTATACTCCTCTATTGAGAATTCTCTATTTAGTTCAGTCCCCCACGTTTTAATTGGATCCTTTGGTGAGATCTCCAGAGATCTACAAGGATAACACCAACTGGCAAACTAAGCAATAGTGGAGAGACTACATTAATAGCCCCTACCTGATGATAGGGTTGATGAATACCCTATAGGCCATCCTAGAACCTTCATCCAGTGCCTGATGGAAGCAGAGACAGATACCCACAGCTAAACACTGAACTGAACTCCTGGAACCTAGTGACAGAGATGGAGGAGTGATGAGCAAAGGGGTCAAGACCATGATGGTGAAACCCACAAAGACAGCTGACTAGATAAGGGGGAGCTCTTGAATCCCAGACTGAGGGCTGAGAGGCCAACAGGGGACTGATCCAGACTGAATGTAGTCTCAGTGAGGAGGCCACAGAAATCACTGGGGCCTTGAGTAGTAGATCAGTGTTTACCATGCTTTATGAGTGATCTTTGGGAGCCCATTCCAAATAGAGGGATGCTCTCTCAGCCTGGACACATGGGGAAGGGCCTAGGTCCTACCCTGGATGAAATGACAGACTTTAGAGATCCCCCCCAAGGAGGGCCTCACCCTCCCTGAGGAATGATGTGGGGATTGGGTGGGGGCCTCGGAGGGCTGGTGGAGGGACAAGGGAGGAGGTGTGGGAGAGGGAGCTGGGATTGACATGTGAAGCATTCATGTTTCTAATTTAAATAAAAACATTACAAAAGAGAGATAGAGAGATCTTATGGTCTAGGCAGGAAGTTACCTCTGCAGCCCTGAGCTGCAGCAGCCTGATCCCGTGCCTGCGCAATTCTGCCTCCTGGAGGAGAAAGCAAGGTCTCTCCAGCCCACTTTCTTCAGTGTTCTATGCGGAGGGTGTTTCTCGTCTTCCTCGGTGTTTTTTTGTTTTGTCTGCCTTCCAGTTTATGCGTCTTTTCCTTCCTTTTGTCTTCCTCCTCGGTCTTCTCAAGCCCCCATGGCTTGGGCTTTAAAGAATCTGGACGAAGCAAGTACACTCTATAAGTGCCACGCCACATTGATCCTCTGTTTCCCACCAGGGTACCATGAAAATTTTCCCTGAACACGCTGATGCTTTCTGACGGGCAGTGCCTCTGCTCAGGCTAACCTCAGTGGGGTGTTCTGGAGCCTCTTACATGTGTATGTCCTGTGTAGCCTTCCTCCTCAGTCTCCCTCCCTCCCTCCCTTCTTCTCTCCCCTCCCTCTCTTCCTGTCCTTCACCTTCATTGCCCCCCCCACCCCGCCTTCTCTCTTATGACATACCTACCCCCTCTGTTTCTATGGGCTCGCAATCTTAGGTGTTTTGGAATCCCTGCTCTGCTTCACGTGGCTGTAGGCCAGATTTTTGTGGCAAAGCTTTTCCCCCCTTTTCATCTTTAGCCAGGACCACTTTCCTGCCTCAAGCTTCAGATGTTATCAGTTCTTGGCACCCCCTCTGCTGTGTCTCACACTGGCTGAAATCTCACCTTGAGGTGACCCTGTTTTTTTTTTTCCCAGTTCCCGGCTTGTCCTCCAGCAGAGTCCTGCAGACTGTTCAAAGGCCCTTGTCAGAAACCTGGTCACTGGAGATGCATATCTGGACCTCTCCCCATGCTAAATCCATCATGATCTGTTGCTCCTTTCTCCAAAGCAGAGCCTCAGCCACCCCCTCCCCCAACTATTCCCCCTATAGTGTAAGGACCGTCAACTGGGTGGCTTCAGTAGCCTCTGGGTGTTCCCTTTTGAGATCTATTAAGAGGTGGCCAGCCTGACCTCTTAAATATTCCAAAAATGATTCTGCATTTGGCATAAGACCTTGCAGCCACTTAACATTTGACTCAGTGAATTTCTGCTTCCCCATCATCACTCCAAGATGATGTATGATCTGACCCCAGCTGCCTGCTCTGACCTAGTGGCATTGGTCCTCATGCACAATGCTAAGTACTTCTTCAAACCAACAGCTCCCCACACCCTGACTTGAGGCCTTCACACATGTTCTGCTCTCCTGGAATGTTCTTTTCCACGCTCTTTAACATTTCTCTGAAATGTATACCCTCTCAGAAATTTCATTTCTCAAGAGAATTTCTCCCACTGCACACTTTCCAAATTGGAAACTCTCCCCCAAGTGTTGTACACTAGATGATAATAGGCAGTGCTTCACAGAGCTAAGCATAGTTTATCATGCTGTACCAGGAGGCAGTGTTTATCATGCTAAGCATAGTTTATCATGCTGTACCAGGAGGCAGTGTTGGGTGACTGAAGGCACAGTGAGCTTGAATCCTAACTCTCACCACTTATTAGTCATATGTCTAGGAACAAACTATTTTAAAAATACACTTTTTCAAACAATATATTCTGACTACATTCCTCCCCCAACTCCTCCTAATCCCTCCTCTTATCTCTTCTCATGCAAATCCACATTCTTTCTGTTTCTCATTAGAAAACAAGCCAGCATCTAATGAACAATAAGATAAAATATTTAGAATAAAAACAAACAGATCGAAAGAGAACAAGAAGAACAGAAGAAAAAGGGTCAAAAAAAGGAAAAAAACAAAACATAGATACAGAGACACACATGTATGAACACACAGGAATCCCATATATACCCAAAACTTGAAGCCATAATATGTACTCTAAGAACCTATAAAGTAAAATAATATAATAGTAAATAAATAATAAATTCCTTGATGCACCATTAAGAGACAAAATGCTTCCAAAGATGCCACTAAGTTTATTTTATGTTGGCCATTTTTTCAAGGCATGTGGCTAGGTGTAACCTTAGTTTGTCCCTCTAGTGAGACTCCCTTGGAGAAACCTCAATTTTTTTTACTTGCAAATGGCTTTCACTTGGAGATAGCATCTGAGTTAGAGATGACAACATGTGTCCACTGCTCACCTCAGCTCTAGAACGCAATCACGTGCAGACACACGCAGGCTGTAAGCATACTGCCACGGTCTCTGTGGGTCATAGGTGTGGTGGTCATGTTGTGTTTAGAGGGCCTTGTTTTCTTGGTGCTCTCCATCCCATCACGTTCTTCCTGACTCCACTTCTTCAGGGTTTCCTGAGGCCTGGAGGAAGGGATTTGATGGAGACATCCCAGTTAGGGCTGAGTGTTCCCAGGGCTTTCACCCTCTGCACATTTTAGGGACAAGTTATTTAGCCTCTGTGTGTGAGTTTCCTCAACAATCACATTAGGACAATGTGAATGCCTGTCTTGAGGAAATTTGCAAAGAGGAAGTGATTATTATTTTGGTTAGTAGTAAATACTCCATAAGCGTTTGTTTACAAATATGTGGTATACGTGTGTGTTTGTATGTGTGAAATCTCCTTTGTGTCTGAATGCTTTGTTATGTGTTGTGATTCTTGATTGTTACTAAATGGTTACTTGACAGATGAATATTGTACTGCATCTTATAATTATGTCTAGCAAGAGAATGCCATGCAGTGTTTATATGATATGTAATCATTTGTAATGCATGCATTAGAATTATTGAGTTATTGATTCTGATTTGTGAATATCCTTTGAGAATTTATCTGTCAGCTCCCTTTCTTCTCTCGAGACCATTCATTATTTTCATTTTGCACGTCTCTGGACCCCAGAGAACCCTACTCAAATTACAGATTTAGTGAACAATGGGATGGTACTGCAGCCTTCTGTGTTCTCCTCTTCTGGAAACACCAAGTGCAGTATGTGAACACTTTTCCTAGAGTTAGAGAACTTGCCCTGTTAATAATGGAATGTTTTCTTCTAGGCGAGCATCACTAGACTTGGCGCTTGTCCTGTCGCCACCTATCCCTGCTTGCAATGGTTTGGCAGTCCAGCACACCGCCTCAGCGGTTCTCTAGCATTCTTACTATGTGTTCACGGAGGAGTTGTGTCCCTAAAAGGCTTCTGTTGGTCTCCGTTTTCTTAGAAGGCCCCCTGTGTTTAGTTCCCAAAGAAATTCTATTTAATTGCAAAATAGCATCTGCTCGGTTCACCCTTACATCCTTTCCTTTCGCTGAGTTCTCCTTTCTGATGAGGAACTGTTAAAAATGCCTCCTTTCTGTCTGTGTCCAAAGCAAGCAGGCCACTTCTAGATTCTTCACGTATGAAAATTGCAAGGTTCCTCACACAAATCAAATCCCAAATTTATAAACAGGTGAGATTTTTACAGGGTTTATGAAGGCGAGGACTCAGGGATACAGTAAGTGAAAACTGCCGCTTGGTCCTTAGCACATTTTGTTATTTAGACTTTTTTTTTCTTTCTTTTCAAAGGAACGTGGTGCAAGGAGCTTGAGATGCATGCAATTGATGGAAACTGTGCGGTTGACTTCACTTCCCATTGATGCATTCTCTGTTTTCTCATGGCAGTTTAACAGCAATGCTCAGGACGTAAGCTGTTTCCAGCACCTGGTCCAGGCGAATGTGAGAAACAAGAAGGTGTTGAAAGATGCTGTGAATAACATCACAGCCAAAGGGATAACAGATTATAAGAAGGGCTTCAGCTTTGCGTTTGAACAGCTGCTTAATGTAAGTGCCAGGGAGAAGCCATTTCATTTCGTCTGTTTTTAGGCATTCTGGCAAAAATCACTGATCCTCAGTGAAATGTGCAGACATGCTATGTTCAGAGATAAGAGCCATGGTTGAAGGGGATGGATGTGTTAGTCAATATTTGGATTCCCATCGCTTCATTAGAAGCTTTTACTGTGAGTGTCCTTATGGGCTTGTCGATGTGCCGAGATAATATGAAGTAGGATCTTGTCACCAATATAGGGAGGTCTTCATTGATTTTGTACCAAAAGATGGACTTTCTTGTCCTTGAAAAATAAGAGTGTGAACCTTCTGTAGGCTACAGTCCTATCAACGGATTATTGATATTTAAAAAAAATAATGCTCAATTGAAGGGGTGTCTCAAGGACTTTGGAAGTTTGCCTACTTGACTTTCATCAAATTGCACACTGACGTTTGAAGACATTGATAGAAGAACATAGTATATATTTTCTCCCTAAGTTTATAGTGACTTCATAGTGAAATGATAGTACTTTGAAGACTACTTTAAATGAAATCTATGACTAAAATTAACTTATTGCTCTGCTTTGTGAGGCCTTTAGAGAATTTTAAATTATGTGGTGGTTTCCCATTATAAATCCTTTAGATGAAGCGGTAGGCTCCCATTATACTTCTTTTAGATAGCAGTAAGCTAGAAAGTTGACATTTTCAAAGAAGCTGACCATTCAGAAGTTAGTGTAATCCATTTTTCTCATCATTTAAGCAAACACATTCCATAATAGTAGAAAAGCCAAGATTGTAATTTGATGCCCCCAAGAAGTCCAACTTGCTAAATTAAAGTGCTCATTTTAATGGCCCTCTGACGCTAATTCATTATTTTATGCTCAGTTCTTTGAAAGACTTTAAAGGTTAAGAGGATTTATAGCCGGAATTGAGTCTTGCAGGATTAGAATCTGTGTGGCAGGTCAGGAGAGGACAGAGGGGGAAGGATGGTCAGGGAGTAGGCTCCAGCATTTATGGAGCCCCAAGGAGCACTGTGTGAGAGAGACTCTGCATGAGTCTGTCATCTCAAAATATAAGGCAAGAGTAATAGGGTAGCCAAGGAGGGAATAACAGAGACAGTATCTGGAAAAGGGTTGTGAAAAGTGTGGATCATTTCAAGCGAGTGTTATTTGTTTGCTTCTGCTGTATAATTAGAAAGGTATGTAGCAGAAACATTTACTCATACAAAACCCAAATACTACTCAGTTACCGGGCAATTATTATGTACCAGGTACTGTCTAAATACCATATTGTCTTACTTTTATGGGGCTTGTGTCCCTTTAAGAAAACCTAACATGGGGCTGGAGAGATGGCTCAGGGGTTAAGAGCACTGACTTCTCTTCCAGAGGTCCTGAGTTCAGTTCCCAGCAACCTCATGATGGCTTACAGTCATCTCTAATGAGATCTCGTGTCCTCTATTGGCATGCATGCATGCATGCATACAGACAAAACACTGTACACATAATAAATAAATCTTTTTTTAAGGAAAAAACACTAAACCAACAAAATGTTGATTATATACAAATTAAAATAAATTATTATGAAGAAAATATAACCTGGGGTGTATTACAGTTTAAAACACTGTGGTCCAGAAAGGTGTCCCTGACAATGATATTTGATGGCAGGTTTGAAAGGTATTTGGCTATCTGTGTTTCAAGAGCTAAGGCTGGCCTAATCTACAAAGCGAAGTTTAGAAGATACTACTGAGCAAACATTTTGCTTGAAGGATGTCATATGTATGAGCTTTCTTTTTTCATATTGGTTTTCTTTTCCTAATTTTCATTATGGATATTTTGCATATATATTTTTTAACAGTATAATGTTTCCAGAGCCAATTGCAACAAGATCATCATGTTATTCACAGATGGAGGAGAAGAGAGAGCCCAGGAGATATTTGCCAAATACAATAAAGACAAAAAAGTGAGTGCTGTTTTCTAATATTTTAATTTTAACATGTAGATGATTTTCATAAAGGGAGTTTGTAATGGTGGTGAAGGGAGGTTTTTTTTCTCCAAAAAGTTAGTTGTAGTTATAAAATTAATATGTTAATGATGGAATAAAACTTTTTTCAGGTAACGAAGCACCAAGCTACGAATTAGTCAGATATTGTAGATTTATATGTCCCATTGCATTCTTACATCAACAAAAGAGAGAAATGAGAAGAGTAAAGGAAAACAAAACAGTTCAGTCTTTGTTGGATTATGTTGGTGAGAAGACTCAATATTCTAAATACACCAAGAAATTTTAGATAGACCAAAACAGTTCATAGGAGCGAACAGATACAGCCTGCTTGAAAATGAGTTCAATGGAAATCTGAAGATGAATTCTTTGATTGGTATAATAATTTAAAGAATGCTATCCCAAATGCCACTGACAGTAAGAAGATCTGTGTTTTGCAATTAGAATGTGTTCATTTCCAGGTCTGTGGTATTGCAGGAGAGATGTAATGATATTACAGGGTCATGCTGTAGAGAGAGTGTTATCATATTACACAAACGTACAAGGATTGTAACTGCTCCATTTAAGCATTTTACCAAAAGTTTACACGTATTTTCTTACTAACATCCCATATTTATAATAGATACTATTCTCAATTTATTTTTCCTAAAATGGTAAAGGAACATCTTAAAGGTCATAGGGGAAGATACAATGTCTTTCTTGTGCTTAAAAAATTATACATTTATCCCAATGAAGACTACATCCATCATCAGCCGCCAGATAGCTGTGACCACAGCTGGCTTTTGTTTTCTTGACAGGCAGTTTTACTGGTTGGGAAGATTTGGCTCAGTAGTAACTCCAATAGATTGTTTTATAGCTATTTGAAGCATGTAGGTGGATATTTTGCATATATTAGAGAGAAGAACTACAGACAACTGATGGTTGTTTGTAGAGGGAGAATCAATCTTCTCTAGGTACGAACCCCTGAGAGGTTAGCCAATCCCAAGAGGACAACCCTAAACACATATGAATAAGATCAAATTATTTCATCTGGTTGTATTTATAAACATAGACATATGTCTCTCACCTCTGTGTGTCGAACTTATAACTAAAGAATAAGAAAGCATGAATTTTAGAAGAAACGGGAGTAACACAAGAATAGGAGGGAGGAGATGTGATGAAGAATGATGTAAATACGGTACTTAGTGAAATTCACAAAGAAGCCATTTCTTTGTTGATTGCAGTTTTATTCAAAACATAGGCTGCCAGGACAAGTCAAGCCACCATCTGGCAAATAGATAAGTAAACCATGCTACACATATAAGCTAGGAAATGCTGTTAGCGTCAACCAAAGGGAATTCCATAGTATGTCGCATTGTCAAACCTTGACATCATGCTTAACGATATAAACTCTTCACATACAGACGTGCCAATAAGTGAGCAATGTATGTTTGCACATACACAAGGAATCTGCAGTAGTCAAGTTCATATACCATGAAGTTGCCAGGGCAAGGAGAAAGAGGAATGGATAATCATCTCATTTTAAGTCTGTGGACACATAGATAATGTTCTGCAAAATGAGTTCATGTTGCAGCATTGTAATACTGAAAAACGAAACCTTTGTTTTTGAGTTAGATATATTTTTATGACTTATTTTATTTTTTGGAGAGTATGATATAATTACTCTTTTTCCCCCTTCTGTTTCCTAAAGGAGTATTGTGAAAGAGGGGGTGGAAAGATTGTAAGAGCCAGAAGTTGGGGGACCTAGATGGAGATTGTGTCTCTCTGTAATTGGAAGAGCTACACTCCTAAAGTCTCACCAACATGGCCGCTCAAACATGAGTGGAAAGTGCATTTCCTTAAAAGTTAGTTGAGGGTGTATCTCATGCAGTGTGTTTTTACCACAGAATGCAAAAAATTAAATATACAAATATTATAATTTCTTTAAAAATTGTGGTCTTTGAAAGAAAAATACCTGAAAACTGCCACCTTATTTCCACTTTTTCCTGCCATCCTCTTGTGGCATTGACATGGCCAGTGAGGCCAATTAGTGTTTCATTTGCATTCGTTTTCCATCTAGATGACTCAAAAGTCATTCACAACAGCCCAGGGAGGTGTGATAGGATGTCTGGACAGCGGATGAATGAGTCTGTGGACACACAACACAGTTTAATGAAGCCAAGGCTTTGAGAATTAGAACAAAATGTTTGGGTTCTTTTTATGGAATGTCCTACTCTTGGGAATCAATCTACCTGATTAGAGATAGGCAGAGATTTAAAACCAAATCCATGTTAATCTCCCGGAGCAGCTGTTCCAAATTAAAACACATTCGGTTTCTAATCTTTACCTGCAGCAGTGACATTCCTTTGGGCTCACCCATGTGTATGAGACCTCCTTAAAAATGGTGCCAAAACTAAAATGAGCTCCACCGACGAGAGCAAACAAGCAAGTAAAGGAGAGTAAAGCCAGACACAGAGCTGAATGATGATTCCCAGGACAAGTAAAATCAAACATGTTTCCTTTTCTCTAGGATAGCAATAGTTTTTTGATTGGCAATACACAGTATGACTACCTCTCCAGGTAGCAAATAATTCTCTTATGTCTTAATTTTCAGAATTTAATTTTTCAAAAAGAAGGCAATCAAAATTAATATAGTGAGCATTTCAAATTATCTAAAAAATTAAAACAGAATTTTGAAATAACTTTTAATTAATTGTTGTAATTTGTTTTTAACAATTTACTTTTAAATATTATGGAGAACTCCTTCCTATATTACCATTGCACCTAAGTAGAAAAGCATTCTCTGCTGCCTGTTAATGCCTAAACCAGGTCACAAATGTCTGAATGTGCATTTGGGTTTTATAGTTAATAAAAAGCCCCTCCCCCTTTTTTAGCTGACAATAGGAAAAGAATTCAAAGGAAATAGTTCATTGCATTCTCTACTGTCTTTCCCTCCTCCTTTTCCATCAGGTGAAATTATAGCCTTTGTAAGGAATTCTTCTGACAGGAATAATTAAGGCTGTTTAGCTTATAAAATATTGAATGTCACTTACCAGTTACATTGTTTCTAAAATCCTTTATTTTTTATATTTTTGCACTTTCAATCAGCTCTAAGAGTTAAGCATTGGAATAAGACCCACATGCCTTTGTTTATAAATCCCAATGTGGTTTAAGCTAGAGTCAGGATACAGTGAAGTGCTGGACTGTCCTATTCAGAAATTATCACTTTAAATGGAATGTTTTGTGCAAGGTGTGTGTTTGGGTATGTGTGTATATTTTTTCTCTGAAGTCATTTGTTTCTCATTTATTTCTCTTAAAAATAAAATTAGTATTGACAGTTTATTCTCTACACTAATACAATACTTTCCAGGTACCTTTTGTTGAGATTTGAGGAATATCACATTTGTGCATTTTAGATTTTAATTTAATATATAAATAAATCTCATGCCAAATGAAATTATTACCTTAAGTAACCAAATATATATTGTAACATATAAACTTTAGATAAAGCATAATTGAACTATGTTTTAGGTATAATTACATCCTGTCAACCTGGAATCTTTTATGGCTCAGCAATTGCTAGGGGGGACTATGGTTGGTCTTACTGTTTCCATGGCTGCCTTCTGTCTTGAGTAAAACTCTGTTTCATGAATGTTCCCTCAGAAGGATCTCTTCCCAGCCTCTCTCAAGTGGTCCTTTCACCTGAGTGATTTTTGTCATGTGAACCATGAGTTCGCATTTTCATTACTTAAATACAGTCAGCCTTGGGTCAGGAGGCAGAACCACCAACTACTTGACAGGAAGTATTCATAGAGTGTCAGGCAGAGTCTAGGAGATGGACAGAGAGACTCACAGGACATAGTAGGGAGGGACTTTGAGGGTCATAGTCATCTTTGGTTTGGCAGAGTGGAAGGAAGCTCTCTGAGACTCCTCAGCCTCTCTGAGCTAGCAGGTTTTCACCCCAGCCTCTGATTCAGAGGCTTATAGATGCATAGAATGATAGAGATTTAATTAAAAACTGCCTTTGCTGGCAGTAGGAGGAGGTGGTTGCTTCCAGTAACTGTGGAGCTGCAATTCCTGGAAAAACAGCAAAAGGGGGACTGGGAAGACTTTCTCCTAATCCAATAACATGAGAGTGAGTCAGCACACCGGTCAACAAGGCTGCAGGGTGACCCCAAAACAGGGACCTATCTTGTCGTGCATCTGTGGGACACGTGAGAGAAATGTTAGCTCGTTTGTGTAAGATGGTGGGCGTGAATCCTGTACGACAAGCACGTGCTCTTTTCCTGTTAAACACTTGTTTTGCGTTATTTACTTGATCCAATTCAACAGGCATTAATTAAGTGCTTCTCCTGTCAGACCTTTGGAACCAAAATAGGTTTAAATTGTATAGACTCGGGTCATATAAATGGCATTGGCTCCTTAGCATTGGAGTTGCTACTGTGTGGTCCAAATGTGCTCATTTAGGAGGATGCTGTTTTTAACCACTTTAAGTTGTTGATGCAGGAAAGGCTTATGACTTTCTATGCGAAATGAATTTTGGAGGTTAGACTGCCACATTCTAAGACAATAGTGTAGTCACCACCTTCTTTATTACTACAGCTGAGACTTTCACAGCTTGTGGATTCTGCATGTCATGAAGTCTTCACATTTTGCACTTTATTTACATTTGGAATACCCGCATGAGAAAAGTATCATCGCCATTGTATTCATTGCCGCACCGTTGAAGCAGGAAAGCCAAAATAGGAGACTTCAAAACATTTGTTGAAAGTCAGATAAATGGTAGAGTCAAGGACTTAAATTATCGGTAGTCTAAATTTGACAGCCTCATATAGAATCTATCAGTGCCTCTTCTCTGACCAGCCCTGAGGCTAACCATTCACCCCCACGGGAGCCTTCCTCCTACACAGACAACCTGACACCATCGTCATCAGCTAGGATGCTCCTTGACTCTGTAGCCAGGCTGTAGTCAAGATGCACAT